ACATAATCCAACATAACAACAGCTTTAATAGTTGTGAGAAGCTTGTTCCATGTTTCATCAAAATCAACTACTCGTGGTTTCAAGGACATTGTGGGTAGTTAAAATGAATCTGTAAAAAAAAATCAAAGTATTTGCTGCAAAATATGACTATATTATTATTTTTCAAAGATCAGTCTTATTTTTTGTTAAAATATTTATGTCATAAACATCCTGTATTATTAGAAAGGCTTTTTTCAGGTATTTCCTGTGAACTTTACTATTAAATTTACTATTTACTACTACTGAAAAGTTGCAATCATCTGTTTGGCTATTGGTCCTTAAATCATATGATCATTACTACTGCCATGTTAATTACAAAATGATAAGTAAGGGAAAATATTTTGGTGAAACCTGAATAGATCAATTTCAAGCTAAAGTTTTTAGGTGAAAGAAAATAAAAAGATAACATTATTTTTTAAAAATAGCTTGTTTCAACTTATCCTTTGCAATAAAAAATGAAATCTGAATATCAGGTTGGAAATTAGAAGAGTTTAATTGAAACAAATAGTGAGGCTACTGAAGGTGCCCTTAAATTAACTTTTTTAAGAATTCTGGAATAGGTAACCCCAACATTAATCACTGGAGTAAAGAACCTGTGGCTCTCCAAATGATACTGAATCCCAACTTTTGTGAGCAAAGTTAGTAATCTAACAGGACTGCACTTGCAATGAGGTAGTTGCTTAATCCTCAATCATGTAATTTAGTAGAAAACACTAAGAAAATACTAAGGAATGGACAGTAAGAACATAAGGTGCATCAATCAGTTTTATGGAGTCCAAAATTGTGTCTCCAACCGTAGCAATAGCACTTAGACTTATATACTGCTTCGCAGTGCTTTACAGCCCTCTCTAAGCTGTTTACAGAGTCAGCATATTGCCTCCAACAATCTGGGTCCTCGTTTTACCAACCGCCAAAGGATGGAAGGCTGAGCCAGTCAGTATCAAAGGAATCACACTCCTGGCAATGTGAGCAGAGTTAGCCTGCCATACTGCATTCTAACCACTGCGCCACCACGGCTCTTGGAACATCTAGTAGTCAGCTAGATGCTCCTGAGTGACTCACAAGCACAGCCAAATGATAACAATATCCTTCACTTGCACATAGTATTAAAATGTATGCAAACTATAACTATAGAGTAGAACCTTCGCTTAGCTAAACTTGAGTTTACACATTATAGCAGGGGTGTCAAACACAAGGCCTGCAAGGTGGTTAGATCTGTCCCGCGGGGCTGCCCTGGAAGCAGGTCGACCGGGCACCAATCACCACCTCCTGTGCGCACACCCAGGGGCCAGGGCCGAGGTGGCAGGACAGCCCCATGGGTCAGATCTAAGGCCAGGCACAGGAAACAACAGTGTCCGTGGCCCGGGTTCACTGCTCGCTCGAGTATCTGGCAGCAGCCCACCAGCCGAGGGGCTCCACAGTATTTCCAGAGTGTGCTACTCTAGGACATTCATAATAGTTCTCATATTATTTTTCAACTGTCTTTTCAGTAAGAAGCCATTCTGGTCCAGATGTATAAATTCATTTAAAAATCTTTTTAATCTTTCTGAAATTATGGAGGCAAATATTTTGTAGTCAATATTTAATAGTGATATTGGCCTATAATTTTTTATCTGTTGATGGTCTGTGTCTTCTTTTGGTATTAGTGTGATATATGCTTCTGACCAGGATTTAGGTAGTTTGGCCTCTGATAGTGCTTTGTTATATACTGTATTTTTTGGACTATAAGACGCACCAAGATTTTGAAGAGGTACATTTTTTAAACATTTTTTTTACTCTGCAGACCTCCCAAACCCTCTGCACAGCTCGTTTTTTGTGAAAAATGGAGAATGCACAGAGTTTGAGAGGCCTCCAAATTGCTTCTGGGGGCTTGGGGGGGGTGAGCAAAAAACGGGGCCATTTTTAGCAAAAAAACAAGGCATGCATAAGCATTGGGAGGCCTGAAAAGTGCTCCTGGGGGTGGGGAGGGGGGGGGCAAAAACAAGCAAAAAAAAAGGCCCGTTTTTCACAAAAACAGGCCCATTTTTTGCAAAAAACAAACAAACAGGGGATGCATAGGCTTTGGGAGGCCTGCAAAGTACTCCTGGGGGCTAGGGAGGGCAAAAATAAGCAAAAACTGGTGCATTTTTTGCAAAAATGACCATTGTCTTACCTGAAGGGTCGTTTTCAGGGCACTGTGAAGGAGAGTCCAAGCAAGGGTTAAATACAGCCAATCTGCCCAGAACTGAATTGAAACTTTAAGCCACGCCTCTGGTGCTGACTATCTTCAGATTNCCCACTTCTCCAAGTTGGTTTAAGTTAATTCATGAACGTGAACGAGAATGTTGACTTCTGCAACCAGGGCGTGGCACCAGCAGTCTCTTTATACTCAGATGAGGATCCCAATGAGCAACAGCTGCTCACAATCATCTCCTTTGTCCTTTACGCTGAGTAGACCTAAGCCTGCTTGCCTCCTGATACAACTCCCAAATACTTTCAGGAACATTCCTTTGATCCAATGCTCTGCTGCCACCTGGTGGCCAACCCGTCTTTCCTTGCACTACTCGGCGTCGACACCCTGTCCAGGGTCCTCCACCACCTCCAAGGCCAACTCATAAGACCCCTCGCTGTCGGGGTCTGGCGGCAGCTCTAACGGCTCCTGCCGGGCCACAACAGGTTTTCAAACTTTTTCAGGCTGCAGGGGAACCCCTGGAACCCCTGCCTCTCAGACACTGTAGAGAACACTTATGGGTAGAAAGGTGGGCTTCCTCCAACAGATGGCACCAGAAGGGATTAAGTGCAAAGCATCCATATATTCATGGAATATTGCATAAAAGCCCTTTGGACCCAAATCAACGAAAGAATGGCTTTACCAGAAAGGCAAAGTTTTGGAATGGCCCAGACAGATCCCAAACCTGAATCCAATTGAATATCTGTAGGGTGACCTGAAGAGGGCTGTGCACAGGAGATGTCCTCGCCATGTGACAGATTTGGAGTGCTTTTGCAAGGAAGAGAGGGCAAAGATTCCCAAGGCAAGATGTGCCATGCTGATAAGCTCCTACCCCAAAAGACTGAATGTTGTCATAAAATCAAAAAGTGCTTCAACAAAGTATTAGTTTAAGGGTGTGCACACTTATGTAACCACATTATTGTACATTTTTATTGGTATTTTTCAACCTAAAAGATTTGTTTGTTTATTAATTGAATTGTACAGCTTATAATAAAGGTGGAAAAAAATCTGAAATGATTTATCTTGGCCTGAATTTTTTGTATCTCAAAAACCTGGCATTTTAACAGAGATGTGTAGACATTTTATATCCACTGAATATTAAGTAGGAGACAAGATTATTTTCTAGATATGTACGTTACAACTGAAAAAACTGAAGCTCAGAAGCACAGGACCCCCTTTAAAGTCAAAATTCATACATGCCATTTGAGAACACTCTTAAAAGGATGGTACTACCATAGACAGTGGCTAGCTTCTCACATTATATTTAGCCATGCTACTTGAAGTCAATAAAGCATAGTATACTAGTACACAGAATATGCTAAGCTGCAACCCATGGTTTACAAACTGGAATAGCTGGAATTACATAACATCCTACATCTAAAGAAAAGAAACTACATTAGGGGTTAAGGTGGTGTGAATTCCAGTTCAATAGTCTGACTAAATCTGGGGCTACTAACACATAGTCCCTGAAAGATACCCCTGAAGTGACGTTCTCTACCTAGCTGTCGTTTTCTTCTGTCCTACCAACAACTTGAAACTCTGCCATAGATGCTCTCATAATAATAAAGTTTATCATTTGCATCTATGAACAGCAGATAGAGTATATCCAACTCAGCACTACTCATTAGTGCTCATTAGCCTTTACTAATCTACTGCTCTTGAAACAGAAGTTTACAAGATCCAAAACCATTAGTGAGATGGAAGACAAACATCTATCATTTCCTCCAGAGCACATATTCCTCCAGTTCTAGCTAGTGTAGCTTTCTTCAAAATAATTTGAAATGGAAATCTGTTTTATGCTTTCTGGTGGGACCAGAAAATACTGAACAGTAGTTCAGATTAGGTTAGCAAGAACAGCCAGAACTGGTGGGTTTACTTAGAACCACATTTTCTTTCCTCACAGCTAATTTGAAACTGAATTTTATGTTCAGAACAGACAGCATAGAATCATATACTAAACACACTTTTCATAGTTTAGACACATTTACCATTCTTAGCAAATCATTAGGCTTTGTTTAATCTACTGTATATACCATAACTGGCTCTTAACAGAAGTTGTGTTACAAAACCTATTTGTGCTAGGGTTAATGCCGAATGTGTTTTATTCCAGCTCTAATTTCTGTAAAGAAATCAATTCCTGTACATCATTTAATCTTGTGCAATCAATATCTGTCTTCTAATAAAAGGATACGAGAAGCGATCATTCCATGTTGCTCTTTCAACATAATCCAACATAACAACAGCTTTAATAGTTGTGAGAAGCTTGTTCC